TCTGGGTCTCCATCGAAGGTTGCATTGAAGGGTGGTGCAAAAACAGGCTGTTGCGGCCCCCACTGGGGCTGTTGCTGCTGGCCCCACCCCGGTTGTATGCCCCTCACAGGTCTAGGTTAGTGAAGACACTCCCTTTGTACTTTTATTTGTTTTATTTGTACTTTTATTCACATACATTTATTTGGGGCCAGAGAAATGATATCTTCAAGATTGGTTTTAGTTGCCATTGGTAATCCTACCATGACAAAATGGGGATGCTAGATATTATCGATTTTTATGTTTTCTTTCTGTTGGAATGGCTTTCATTCAGAGCCAGCTTCCTTTAGAGTAAATGCAGCATGCCTGTTTGTCAACTTTGGACAGTATTATCTATCTAGCACTATTTGCAATGGGAAGTAATTTTTACTGTGCTAGATCATTTATTTATTATCAGTTGTCTCTTTGTTTGCAAAAAGCCTGAACTGACTTATCCATTTTTAAAAAATTATTCCTATTGTAAAAAAAAATCCCACTAATGAAAAAATATCCAGTAATCAGCTTTTAGAAGGAATTATGATATATAGGTATAATAGTTATTTCCCAGACTAATGAAAATTGAGGAGACCGTTAGGTAAACAGATAATTGCACATTTTTCTGTTATCAATGAAAATGCCCACCACCTCACAGGAGGGCTATTAGAAGAAAAATAAAAAAGCCTCTGATCTGATGTATTGATAAAATAGAATAACAGAGTTGGAAGGGACCTTGGAGGTCTTCTAGTCCCTATACCATTTCAGACAAACAGTTGTCCGATCTCTTCTTAAAAACTTCCAGTGTTGGAGCATTTAGAACTTCTGGAGGCAGGTTGTTCCACCGATTAATTGTTCTAACTGTCAGGAAATTTCTCCTTAGTTCTAGGTGTTCACTGATTCGTTGCTTGATTATCTTTTCCAGAATCTTCCCAGGTATTGAGGTCAAGTTGATAGGTCTATAGTTTCCCTGGATCTATTTTTTTCCTTTTTTGAAGATGGAAATTACATCAGTTTTTTTCCAGTCCTCTGGTAGTTTCCCATTGCTCCAGGATCTTTGAAAGATATAGTTCAATTGTTCTGAGATCATGTCTGTTTTTAAATGCAAACTACGGTAATTAATTTGCTCAGATTCATATAACCCCATTCATTTCTTTGCAATAAATCTTGCTAAGGACAATTCTTTGAGAATTATGCATAGAAAGAATCAACTTTTGAGTTTTAAGCAGCTTTTATTTTATATATTAACCGGAAAAAGATATGCAGATTACATCTTGCTTTGATACAGATAATAGTTTGAATCTAAAACTGCAGAAAATGTGTCAGACTAAATGTCCTGTTCAAGATTTATTATCTGTATAGATAATAAATAAATGAAATAGTTTCCCATTGATGCTATTGAGTAACATACTGCTTTTCAAAGGTCTATTATATAATAGAAAGAGGAGAGGCTCAGTGAAGAAAATATGAATAGGAGTTAGAAGTTGTGACATGAAGGTACTTTTTTTTTTAAGACTCTTTTCAGAACGCCCAAAATTCTGAGAATTTGAAGGAGAAAGGATTCTTTGGCATTTTTCAACGAAGCAAAAAGAAACGACAACAGGTAACAAACATATACATGTTTATAATTATGGTAAGGTAGAATGTAAGCTCGAGTAGGTCATTTTTTATTTATTTTTTGCTGGCCTGGACAGTTTGTCCTGTTAAAGTTAACTGGAGTGGTTAACAAAGGATTATTTTTTAGCCCTGTAATTTCTTTCAGTTTCTCTCAGAGAGCGAACAGGCCCATATTTCCTGATCTTTCCTGATCAAAAGTCATGGAGTATCCCTATTTCTTTGCTTCCAGGAATTACTTTCTTACACACGTAACACCCATACGTGCATCCTCACAATATCAATCTCAGCTCTTCCTTATTATCCTAAGATTGCAACCTAGGGAAACTATTCCATCCAAGCTCTAAAGACCCTATTTTTTTTAGTTGTTTTTGTTTTTAATTTTTACCATTGTGCAAATGTTAATACTCTCACCGTCTTTCCCCTTGTCCATAGATTAAGACCGGCTGTGGTTCTGTCTTACTCTTCTACTCAGTGTAATGGATTGTCTGAGCTTGGGAATGAGAATATTTGCAAAACATTGCAGAATCAGAATAGATCAGAATTGTTGGCAAATGGAAGCAGTGGAAATTGTTGATAGGTGGAGATTTAAATTAATTTATTTAAATTATAAATAAATAAGAATAGACGGGTGTTAAAGTTGTGTCCTAGCCCTTAGATCAAAGGCGGGGTGAAAAGGTCAAAGGCATCAAGGATGAGCCTGCTTTTATGCTTGAACTGATAAAAGAGAGGCTAAAGCAGAAGTCCCCAACCTTTTGGGCACCAGGGACCGGTTCTGTGGAGAGAGGTTTTTCCTTGGACCGGAGGGGGCGTGGTTTTGTGTGCTGCCTGCATCCTTGTTTGTGCGGACTGGTTGCTGGCATGCTGCGGCCCAGTACTGGTCCACGGACCGGGGATTGGGGGGCCCTGGGCTAAAAAACACACATCTCCTATTTTCAAGATTTTGTAATCTAATCCCATTTTTCTTTCAATAAATGAGATGTGTGAATCTAGATTTTCAGGTTGTATGGGGACTTAATCCTTACCAGCATGGTAGCCCAGGGATAATCAAAATGTTCTGTGCATTCATGGGAGGTTTGGGGCTCAAATCAAAACACACGTTTTGGTCATTTTGATCCAAGAATGGAGTGAAATGAGGTTGTTTTATTCATGCATAGTAGGGATATTTTGGTTGAAGTGGCATGTGTATAGGGAGCCAGGGATATTGGCATCTGAGAGGAAGAAAAGGAGATAGAAAGGGTAAGATACCGGGAAGTGGGAGATAGGTTGCTGAAATACGTAATACCGTATAGCAATTTGGATGGAGGCCTAAGGAAGTAGGAGAAGAAGAAAGGCATTGGGGAGATGGAGTGGCTAATGGGATATATGCAGATAAGCATCAGCAGTGGCAGCTGAGGGAAGATGGTAGGAAGATACAGTAGGGCTGATGAGTCAATGGGATAGGCTCCATTGCAACATTGGTGATAGCAAAGAACCTGAATAGAAGGATAGAATGTATTAGGAAGATCTGGAGTGAGGTAGAAGGATATACCATGCTGGGACATTGCTAGAAATAAAATAGGGAGGAGAGAGAAGAGGGATAGAGAAAAGGGGGGGAGGGGTTTGCAATGCCCCACCTTACCCCATTCATTCCAATTTCGTTTTGGCCAACCCAGAATAGCGAAAAAGCATTATTTTTTTATTGATGAAATATAAACAATATTTCGTATTAGTCCATCTCCTTATGGTTTCTGTATTGAGCTTCTTGGGGAACTTCCTACAAGAAAACAACTTCCTGGGCTGGGTATGCTACATTTGAATCTGGTCTTGTAATAAATGGGAATAATTCTTGGTTTAAAGAAGTCGGATGGTTGAACATCTAATCAAATCATATTTTTTTTCTTATCTCCACCCCAACCCCAATAAGACGACCAGTGCTCCTGCGACACCACTCATAAACAAGCCAAGGCCAGCCTTTTCTGTGAGATCCAGCTCCGTTTCGAAACAGTATGACTCAAACACTTTGCCCTCTGAGATGCCCAAAAAGCGCCGAGCGCCTTTGCCTCCCATGGCTCCTTCTCAAAGTGTGCCCCAGGATCTTGCTCAAAGCCAGGACAAACCTAAGATCTGTATGCTGAAATCCAGTAGTGTAGATGAAACCAATAAGGTTAGTCATTAACCTCTTGCCCTTCATTTCACTCTGGGGATAATTTTTAAAATAATGTCTGAATAGCTATTGAAACAGTTTAATGGGAATAATCACCACCATACCTTCCAATTAAATTGTGAGAGTTGACTTGAGCCAAATTTAGATGATGTTTCTGAAATCAACCATAGCCACAAAATTACTTCTTTATGTTCAGATTTCACACTGAGTATAACGGATCAACGACGTCAGCAAGTATTGCCAGCCCAATTGGCAAAAGAAAACTTAGGACCGAATTGGCTGGAAACATGCGGAAGAGGCCTTCGTCCTTCAATGGATAGACAAGGATGCTGAGGATGATAAACACATCAGACATGCAGACAGGGTAGATCAGGGGTGTCAAACTCGCAATGTCACGTGACATGTCACAACGTGCTGTGACTTTTTTTCCATTGCTGGCAATGGGGTAGGCACGGTTTTGCTATGATGCATCCAGCCTATGGGCCGGCAGTTTGACACCCCTGGGGTAGATCATCAGAAATATATTGTATGAGTTTAGGTTTTTTTACACATATGGTAATAAGACATGCTAAAACTTTGCTCCTATTAGAATCCTTCAAAAAAGAACTTCCAAATCGAAGTGTACTGTATATTCTTATACTTTCAAATGAAATATGTGGACATCTGATAACTGTGCTTAGGGAGGAATTCATTATTCATAGAATCCTCCTTCACTCAAACTAGCATTTATTATCAGACTTCTAAAGCAGTGGCTTTAGATATTAACCTTTAATTTGTAGATGGAAGTTAAATATTAATATTAAATGCTGGAAAAGCTTAATGTGATCAAAACAGTTCAGTAATCATAAATTTAGCTAGTTGCATTGGTTGTTAAGAACTGTATTTTGAAGCAGTATCAAATTGCAATTCAAATTCAGCTTTCCCTATAAAACAGATAGTTTCTGTATTTTCATTAAATGTGAAAAAGTGTAGTTTAAGTATAAAATGAAGAAAGATTTGACAATTTCTGTCTTTTCCAGATTGTCTTCCTCATCCCTTTATGAAAAATATAGTTAAATACATTACTGAGAAAAGGTTTCCCAAGCAGTTCAAACCATTGCATTATTAGAAACATATTCAATCCTTAAGAAAATCAAATTGTACTTACTGGGAGAGCCTGGGATGTTTAAAATAATGTTTTTATCTTAATAACCTTGCCTGCTTCTATAATAAAGCATTTTAATGAAGTCATAAAGGAGGCTGCCAGGTCAAATCTATCTATATAAATCCCATACATGCTGAATTTATTCCAGCATAGTTTGAGGGGTGAAATTAATGCAGTTACTAATATCTTACTAAAGCATAAATTGTCACTTGTGAATTCCAATTAAAAATCAAAGCTAAGTGTATCAGCGTAAATGGGAATATGTGTACTGAGACAACACTTTGAATCTAGAATAAAAGGCATTTTTCTAATATCCTAGGATATATGAGCATGCTATACAGATGAAGAGAAAAGGAAAGAAGAAAAGGAAAGCCAGGCCCAGTAGTTGAATGGAACATAAGTGCAATCAGTGAATAGTATTTTTGTTCTCCTAAAGTATATTATTTCTATTTTTTATAAAGCCTTAACCACAAGAGTGCGCTGTTTAACAGAGGTTTGGAAATTTGTATCTAACTAACTAAAAAAAAAAAAAGTCTTCCTTTGGGAAAAGTCAGTGGCCATCTCAGTGCATTCTCCAAATAGTTTCAAAGTAAACTGGTTATGCCAGTTAAGAATCTGTAAGCAGCATCTGTGTAAAGCAGGCATACAATTATGCCTGTCCAGATGTCTTAGTCTAGTTTATACTTTGCCAAACTCCTGGTAAAACTATGTCCAAAGAAACGCACCAGCTCTAGAACAGTAGATGAAGCATTCGTAGAACCAGATAATATTTGTACCTATAGCAGCTCCATCTTGTATTCTCAGTTTGTTTTGCTCAACCCAGTCGCTCACACCTCCAGACACAGGGTCAAGTCTTATGATGATGATGATGATGATGATGATGATGATGATGATGATGATGATGTTGGAAGGGACCTTGGAGGTCATCTAGTCCAACCCCCTGCTCAGGCAGGAAACCCTGTACCATTACAGACAAATGGCTGTCCAGTCTCCTCTTAAAAACTTCCAGTGTTGGAGCATTCACCGCTTCTGGAGGCAGGTTGTTCCACTGCTTAATTGTTCTAACTGTCAGGAAGTTTCTCCTTAGTTCTAGGTTGCTTCTCTCCTTGATTAGTTTCCATCCGTTGCTTCTTGTCCTGCCTTCAGGCGCTTTGGAGAATACCCAATTCCAGCAATTGTTCCTTATATGTTTTAGCCTCCAGTCCCCTAATCATCTTTGTTGTTCTCTGTACTCTTTCTAGAGTCTCAACATCTTTTTTACATCGTGGTGACCAGAACTGGATGCAGTATTCCAAGTGTGGCCTTACCAAGGCATTGTAAAGTGGTATTAATACTTCATGTGATCTTGATTCTATCCCTCTGATAATGCAGCCTAGCACTGTGTTGGCTTTTTTGGCAGCTGCAGCACACTGCTAGCTCATATTTAAGTGATTGTCCACTAGGACTCCCAAGATCCCTTTCACAGTTACTACTATTGAGCAAGATACCACCTATACTATACCTGTACGTTTGGTTTTTCTTGCCTAAATGTAGAACCTTACTTTTTTCACCATTGAATTTCATTTTGTTAGATAGCGCCCAGTGTTCAAGTCTGTCCAGATCCTCTTGTATCTTAAGCCTGTCTTCTGGAGTGTTGGCTATTCCTGCCAGCTTGGTGTCGTCTGCAAATTTGATGAGTTCCCCATCTATCCCCTCGTCCAAATCGTTGATGAAGATGTTGAAGAGCACTAGGCCTAGAACAGAGCCCTGGGGCACCCCACTACTCACTTCCCTCCATGTAGATGCGGTTCCATTGAGGACCACACGCTGAGTACATCCAGTCAGCCAGCTACAAATCCATCTGGTGGTGATGCTGTCTAACCCACATTTTTCTATCTTATCAAGTAGTAGATTGTGATCTACTTTTCATCAAATTATGCAAGCTTCCTTGCCCTCTTCTCTTCACTACTAGCTACTGGAAGGTGCAGTCAGCCAGTGGCCCACACTATTAGCAACCTGCGAGGGACTTCAAGTCAAGTCTCTACTTAACCACTGCTTTCAGATAAGGGTTGCTGGTAGGTCACATTCAGAACGATGATTTCCCCATCATAGTGGGAAATAAAATCATAATACTTTTGTTCTGAAAGCCACTTGAAATTTTTATTCTGTGAAATGCTTGCTTTCTATTTTGGTTTTCACAATGTCTCTTATCCCTTTCTTTCGCTCCTCAGCTGCTCTTTTGCAGTCACTGAGTCTATTCCATAGATTGATCTCACATTCCGACTGAATGTTTTGCAGATCAAATCTTGCTATTCTCTTTACTTTAACCTACTTTCCTAAATATATGGTGTCAATTATTCAGGTATACAGGTATAGTGTAGGGGGTACCTTGCTCAATAGTAGTAACTGTGAGAGGGATCTTGGAGTACTAGTGAACAATCACTTAAATATGAGCCAGCCGTGTGCTGCAGTTGCCAAAAAAGGCAACACAGTGCTAGGCTGCATTAATAGAGTGATAGAATCAAGATCACGTGAAGTATTAATACCACTTTACAATGCCTTGGTAAGGCCACACTTGGAATACTGCATCCAGTTTTGGTCACCATGATGTAAAAAAAGATGTTGAGACTCTAGAAAGAGTACAGAGAAGAGCAACAAAGATGATTAGGGGACTGGAAGCTAAAGCATATAAGGAAAGGCTGCTGGAATTGGGTATGTCTAGTTTAATGAAGAGAAGGACGAGGGGGGACATGATAGCAGTGTTCCAATATCTCAGGGGTTGCCACAAAGAAGAGGGAGTCAAGCTATTCTCCAAAGCGCCTGAAGGCAGGACAAGAAGCAACGGATGGAAACTAATCAAGGAGAGAAGCAACCTAGAACTAAGGAGAAACTTCCTGACAGTGAGAACAATTAACCAGTGAAACAACCTGCCTCCAGAAGCAGTGAATGCTCCAACATTGGAAGTTTTTAAGAAGAGACTGGACAGCCATTTGTCTGAAATGGTATAGGGTTTCCTGCCTGAGCAGGGGGTTGGACTAGATGACCTCCAAGGTCCCTTCCAACTTTTATTATTATTATTATTATTATTATTATTATTATTATTATTATTATTATTATTATTATTATCCATGGTCTCTTCCACAGTGTGCACCTGGAATTGGCCTGGCTGATTGGATTACACTTTTTTGTTTTCTATTTCCTATTGTGTAGTTAATTTAATTCCAATGTAGTTTATCCATTAATGTCCAATATTTGTATTTGTATTTATATTCCTTGCAGTAGATGTTGCAATAATCAAAAAATTCTCTTCCCCCAAAATCTATAAACCTAGCTCCTACATTATTGACCTTGTCCTGTCTAAGTAATTCCAGCTTTAGTTTTCTAATTAATGACTGGTACTATTAAACCTTTGTTAGACGTTTCATTTAAAAACACTTTATAATTTGCCAAAACATTCTTCTATGCCTGTCTCCATTTTATGTTCAGTGCAACATTGTACATTCTATAACACTAATGCTAAGTGAATATCCACTAATTTTGTTAAATATGCTTATTGTTCATTGAGATGTAGTGGAACATGTACTCTTCCTTGAGTATTAGGCCATTCCATTCCTTCATACGATTTCATATCCTTTTTTAAAAATATTTTTTGTTGAAGAGTTTAATAATACTAAAAAGATAATTCAAACTGAAATCAGAAAGAAAAAAAATTGTTTAAATTAAAGAAATACATATATATAAAAAGAAAAGAAATGGAAAATAGAATATTTAACGAAGTGATTCTCAGTCTTCCTTGAAACAGATGCAGAATTTAATATTTAATTTTCCCACCCCATAAGATTGCGTACATAATTAACTTCTTCCCATACCACTATCCATTCACAAATCCAAAAATTATCATTCCTATCCAAGTATTGTCAAAAAGTCCATCTAGTGTTTATAGAATGTATAGAAATATTTCATATTTTAACCTTGATCAAACAAACAACTTTATATTCCTTTTTTTTTTTTTTTTACTTCTGACAGTCTTAGCTTTAATTCCTCAAGTCGCTGCCCTAGGACTGAATCTTCTTTCAAACTTTCTCTCCTCTCAAGAGATTTCTTCAAGTCTTTATAAACCCTTTTTTGTAACTCCAATGGTAAATCCTTGTCTAGGACTTGGTTTCATATCCTACATAGAAACATCTGGTTTAAAATTGCCCATTACTGTTTATTCACGTTCTCCTGTCTTAAAACTTGCAATTTATAAATATATTTCTAAAATGTAGAAACTCTTTTCAATGCTAGGGACTTCGCTGCAACATTTGACTAGCTAAATCATCCCTTCTCTTATTTGAAAGCATTCTTCCTTGCTAATTAGAGTGGGGGGGGGACTAATGAAATTCAGTGGATTGATTATCTGACCCCTGCGTCTTTGTGTCCTGTTTTTCACACAGTTTTCAGGCTGTGCTCTGTCTCATACAGCAATTGCTGAGATGTAACTTAAAAGGAAAATACAAAGTGACTTGTTATATTATCTTAATACTAGACTAAACTGAAACACCTTTGTCCCAGCTGAACAGTTTGCTCTATTTTGATAAAGCAAAGCATTTATCCATGCTAAAGTGGTAATGTCAGACACTGGCAAGGGAAGCCAGCTAAAAAGAACACTGCCTCCACAGTTTCACTTCTTAATAGTCTGCTTTTTTATTTTAAATGGAAAATATAAGAATTTGATTATCTTCTTTGAATTTTCTCATCTTACTTGAGAAGTAAACGAGACGTGCAAAGTAAAATTGCTCTGAATCAGCCTTTTCCAGCCATAGCTCTTCAGATGTGTTGGACTACACTTACCATAATTCCCAGACACTTGGGCAGACATTTGGGGAGCTATAGTCCAGTACATCTGAAAGGCTGCTTTTAAGATATTGAAAGTTTTAGGTGGTTTCAGAACGACACCCAGTTTTTTTCCAAGTATCATAAAGAACAACCAGAGGTAATTTTGGATTGTCTGTACAACTTGGAAGAGGGGATGCTTGCCTGACGTGCTACTTTTCTAAATGCAGGAGATTATGTTTTGTTTTGTTTTGTTAACTCATAAACAAGTTGGTTGAAATCCCATCTTCTCATAATAGCATGAAATTGTTGCACGACACAGAGGACAAGAAATTGTTTGTGTGTGTGTTATACGGTTAACTAGTTATTCAGCTGTATTGTTTAACATTGCTTCTTAGCTTAGGAAGTTACTAATTTGAAATTTGAAGATGAAGTCTCCCTTAAGTCAACATCTGGTGATGATTCAGACATGTCCATATTGTTTCCTTGGTAACAGTATAGAAGTCATTTGCCCCTGCTGGCTTCTGGGATGCTTTTTGACTTTCTGGGCTAACCTACAAACCCTGGGATTTCCTGATGCTTTCCCATCTGAGTACTAAACAAGCTTTTTCAAGATCATCCAAGGTCTGCTAAGTACTGCCACTTCACTGTTAAATAATGAGTGAGGTCTGCTCTGGCAGATAAATTTTAAAGCTTTAGTTCACGGTAACATTTAAAGGTTTATTTTTTTCTGAACAACATGCAAGTAGATTTTTTCCCTCAGCTAAATATAGCTTGGTAGAATAAAATCTAGGATGAATAAAATATAGGTGGCCGTTTTTCGTTTTTTTTGTTTTTTTTTACAGCGAATGCTAGTAACTTTTCCATTGTGTCTGGACTGTGAAGGTTTATGATCCCCAACAGATGTTAATGTCTACAAATCCCTCGGATTAAGTTACAGTCACTTAAATGTATCATTAGAATTTAATTATTTATGTTTGTGGGGGGAAAATATATCCATATTTTCATAACTCTAAATTAATGCTTAGTCTTGGGTTGGTGTTACACTGGAAATATTCAGTTGATTCGGGAAGGACAAAATACATACATCGTTTTGTGGAGTTATTAGTGCAGACTGAATTTATGTCTTGATTATATTGAAAGAGTTTTCGTATTTAACAGGGAATGATGACTGTCTGGCTACATTTTTGAATGTTTCTTGTTTTAGTTTCATTTCTGCTCTGACTTTCTCCCCAGGGACTCTCGGGAGTGGGAATAGAGAGGTCAGGTTCTCTTCATCTCAGTGGCACATCCTCAGTTGATTCTTCTTTAAGCCGCACAAAGCGCAAAGCACCTTCTCCACCTTCCAGGAAACTGCGAGGCCAAAGTGACCATAGCATTGACACAGGTAAACATAGTATTTCACAATTTTGTACCCAAAACCTGAAAAGGTTTTGCCCTCATGTAAAGTAATGACTTTGGAGCAGTTGTTCTCCTTAACCTGTAGTCAGAAATGGCTCGTTGAATTATTATTACTTTATACCCCCAAAATGTGAAATCATTGTTGTCTCATCTTTAGCTGGTTTTGATCTTCATCAAGTTCTTCCCAAGAATCTAGGCCAGTGATGGCGAACCTTTTAGAGACCGAGTGCCCAAACTGCAACCCAAAACCCACTTATGCATCGTCAGGTGCCGGGTGGGTGTGGCCCATTGGCTGGGTGTGGCCCATTGGCTGGGTGTGGCCAATTGGGGTGGTGGCCCATTGGGTGGGCGTGGCTGCAGTGGTAACGGCAGACTGGGTGGGACTAAAAAGTTCAATCAATTCCAACATTGCAAGACCTTTTTTTTCCCGCAAGAAGTTGAAATTGACTGATTGATTGAACCTTTCTTTTTTTTTTTTGCACACGGTAGCGGAGGCCTAAAGCGAAAAGGTTTTATAAAACCCAGCTGAAGGCCTAGGACTGGGGCGACGGCACGTGTGCCCACAAAGAGGGCTCTGAGTGCCGCCTCTGGCACCCGTGCCACAGGTTCGCCACCACTGATCTAAGCTATTGTAATGGATCATTGTGGTATATCTGCAGATCCAAGCAGTGTGGCCTGTTGTATTATTCTTACCATTGAAATTTGATGGGAAGTTACTATTTATTACTCAATTGACTTATGACTGCAATTGAGCCCAAACTTTCTGTTACTGAGGCATTTGTTCAGTGAGTTTTGCCCCATTTTATGACCTTCCTTGCCACAGTTGCTAAGTGAATCACTGTAGTTGTTAAGTTAGTATAAGGGTTGTTAAGTGAATCTGGCTTCCCCATTGACTTTGCTTATCAGAAGGTCACAGAAGGTGATCACATCACCCGGGACACTGCAACCGTCATAAATATGAATTAGTTGCCAAGTGTCTAAATTTTGATCACGTGACCAGGGGGATGCTGCAATGGTGGTTAATATGAAAAACAGTCATAAGTCATTTTTTTCATGACTTAGAATGGTCATTAAATGAATTGTTGTGTCAACAGCTGGACTACCTGTAGATTGCATGCAGCCTGTGCTTTGTTGCCAGAGAAATAGTATCACAAGAACAATAATAGTCTGACAATTGTATACCTTTGATAAAAGATATTTGGGCATTGTTGCAGTTTTGCTGTGAAGAAGAAAGTATTTCCAAAATGCCTATATCTGCCTATCCAAAATCTATTTTTCAGGATCAGAATCTGCAGAATCAATTCATACAGAAAGCATTGACAAAGGAAAATACTCAAAAGCGCAGTCTCTAACAGGTATTTTAAATGCAACATTTAGTAAAACAAAAAACAACAAACCCAGCTATATCTGCTAATATAGCCACAAAATTCCTTTTGCCCCTTTATCATCCTTTTCTCTGCCCTTGTTATTATGTTATTCTAAATTAACCCAAAACAATGGCTTTCATTTTACTTGAATTGGGCTTTAAAATGTATAAAATCAAGCATTATTTAATTATGTCGATATTTTCTCATTCCTTAAGCCTATCTTGGGGCCAGATTGATAACAGAATAACAGAGTTGGAAAAGACCTTGGAAGTTTTATAGTCCAACCCATTGCTCAAGCAGAAAACCCTATACCAGTGGCCCCCAACCTTTTTGGGATCAGGGATCAGTTCCATGGAGAAAGGTCTTTCCGGGGACTGGAGGAGACATGGTTTCACATGATGGGGCTTTGCTTGTTTGTGAAGCCCAGTTTGTGGCATGTCATGGCCCAGTGCCGCTCCATGGATGGCTGTTGGGGACTCCTGCCCTATAACATTTCAGACAAATGGTTGTCCAATCTCTTCTTAAAAACCTCCAGTGTTGGAGCACCCCACAACTTCTGGAGACAAGCTGTTCCAGTGATTAATTGTTTTTTTAACTGTCAGGAAATTTCTCCTTAGTTCTAGGTTGCTTCTCTCCTTGATTAGTTTCCATCCTTCTCGTTCTGCCTTCAGGTGCTTTGGAGAATAGCTTGACTCCCTCTTCTTTGTGGCAGCCCCTGAGATATTGGAACACTGCTATCATGTCACCCCTAGTCCTTCTTTTCATTAAATTAGACTTACCTAATTCCTGCAACCATTCTTCGTATTTTTTAGCCTCCAATTCCCTAATCATCTTCTCTGCACTCTTTCTAGAGTCTCAACATCTTTTTTATATCATGGCAACCAAAAGTGGATGCAATATTCCAAGTGTAGTGGTTAAGGCACTAGACTAGAAACCAGGAGACTCTTGAGTTCTAATCCTGACTTAGGTACAAAGCCAGCTGGTGATCTTGGGCCAGTCACTCTAAGAAGGAGGCATTTGAAAACCACAAAAAACCTTGCCAAGAAAATGGCAGGGACTTGTCCAGTCACCAGAAATAAACACTGACTTCAAGGCACATACATGCAAGCATATCATTAGAAGACTTCCCACCACCACCCCTATTTTTAAGCAGACACATTGATTTAGAGGCAGCATAAATATTGAAATATCTGTAAATCCACTGATTTATATTATAGTTGGTGTTTTTATTAAAAGCTAAGAAAGGCAACCACAGTGAAATATCATTTAGATCAATACTCTGAAAAGGGGGACAAAAGCCTTATATTCTGCACTAGTTTCCTCTTGGAAATAATGTTCAAATAATAATTTGGTACCTTGTTAGAGATGAAGAGGGATGTGATTTGTTCCCATTACGTACACCATGGTCCTGGTCTTTCAATATGTTAGGTTAATAGAGTATGTGATTGAATAATAGTCTACATAACCCCCACCAACTATAGGAGTGACGGCTCTGAAACGTACAGGGAAAGGGGTCCAGTCACATGTCCTCTTTCCATTATGAAGGCTGAAAAGGCCTTAAATAGTTGTGTGATGTGGAGGCAGATGATACCTGCCGAAGCAAAAACAATCTCTTTATTTACAAATAATAAGAAAAATAACTTGGAACTGCTTGGCATGCAGCTCCTCCCTACAACTAATCTCTGCAACTCAGCTTGTTGGCTTCCTCATTTGAGTTTTCAGTAGAGCTGTGTTTTCTTTCTTTCCATTTCTCTCTCCATAATCAAGTCAGAGGTGTCCTTGACTATTGGTTTTTTTTTGTTTTTTTTTTTGCATTTCTGCATATTAAAATATATTCACCATTCCACTTCCCCACTTAATAGCCTGGCCTTTCCAAAGGGACCAATATTCACCCCCGTCCCCAATCTGCTCCTCAAGAGTGTCAAGATGGCTGTGTTTCTTCAAGGTTCGCTACTAGCTCTGAGGTTCTTTTCCACTTAATCTCGGCGTGAGTGTGCAAGCGTAGAGGATAGTTTGCTTCATTTTGACAGCAGTCCCGATGGAAAGAGGATTGCTGGAGTGGGAGAAGGCTGTGACCCTGAGCCTTGGAGAAAGAGAACACTTAAATGTGGGTTCAGAAAGGTGCTTCACTGGCTTTGTGAAGAGCCCTACAATTTAATGTACAATTAATTGTTCTAGAAGAAAAAGAACTGGTAATTGCTTAATCACATTGATTTCATTGATTAATTGGTTACATTTGCATCTGGGTGGTTATGAATAAGTTCTAATTTCAAAGGAAAAAAATAAGTCCCCTTGTTTTGTTTTTAAGTGAAGCACATGCAATTTCAGTAGACAGTATTTTGGAAGAGATAGTAGTTCTGTTTGTATGAGAGGGAAAAAAGGTGAGGATCTTCTGAACTGATACTTTGATGATCAGAGACATTTTCAGTTCTTTTCAGTGCTGAGTAGAGAAAGGTGTTAATTTGACTGTGTTTTTATTAGCTAAGTGCAGCAACCCTATTAATATTACCAAAAATGACTTGAAAACATTTTGATTTGACTAACATTGTTCCCTCTGCTTTTTTCCTTCTCATGTTTGTTTTATTCTCACGTTAATCAAGTTAATTCACACATTGTTTCCTAACCTGCTTCTTAGGCAATGTAGTTGATCTAACCAGGACCCCAGTGGCAGCAGGTACCTCATGCAGCTTTGATCCAACCAGTCATGATCAAAACAATGTCCAGCAAGTCGCAGATGAAAGTAGAGTTTTGGTTAACACTGATACTCCAGATGAATCTGAAGTGTCGCTCAAATGTAGGTGGCTGTCATGTTTTCTCTTTGGGACTAATTTCCTAAATTATACATACTAGTCTCATTTAACATGAGCTCTCTGAGAGTAATGAATGCTGTTTAATATATGTTTTGAGGAGGAAAGGAAGATCTTCAGCTTCATGTGCCTGCTTTGAGTGTTATAGCCTACTTATTCTCTTCTTGATGATTTTAAGAGTGCCATTGTTGTATTTGTCTTAACATAACTCTATGGTACAGCACATTTATGCTGAAGTCATATGATAATATTAGTTTATTAATGAAGCCAAGAAGAAACTAAGATATGCAGGGACTTTTCCTCTGATTATGGTAATACTATTAGATAATTTCCTATTTTCTTCCACAGAATGTCTAAATATATTAAATTCTATATAAAGCAGTTCCCTATGTTCCTGTCGGTTTATTCTCTTATGTGTTTAATTAAAGAAGACAACATTGCTTTTATGGTACTTTCAAATATATTTGCCAAACTCTCATCTTCTATTAATATATAAGTGTTTCATATATTACGTTCTCCCTACCTTATTTATAGTGATTTTAAATAATAGGAAAAAGTTCCTCTACCAGCATAGCAAATGCATTAGTAAGCAAGTATTCAAACGTTTTTTTTTAAAAAAAAACAATATACTTTTGTATACTGAAACTCTCCAAAGATTACTCCTTGTGTGTGTTGTGTGTATTTGGTTTTTTTGCACAGCTGACATGGGTTCTGAATATAGCCTAAAGGAAATAGACGAGAAGGAAGAAACACGTGATGACTCTCTCAGTGCTTCTGAGGTTCCACTAGATGTTCAAAAACATGAAACTGCTTCTGATCCAAGTTTTGATATTGGAGACAATGCACAAGAGTCTAATGAAGAGAAAACAGAAAATACGAGTGCACAAGATAAGTAAGTAAAGCTAAGTTTAGTATGATTTTATGTATATATGAGAGTAAGGAACTGAGTAATTCATCCAAGCTGGGTTCCATCATCTCACATTACTGTAGGGAGCCGTGGTGGTGCAGTGGTTAGAATGCAGTATTGCAGGCTAACTGCTCACACAGCCAGGAGTTCGATTCCATCGATCCTGGTCAGCTCAGCCTTCCATCCTTCTGAGGTCAGTAAAATGAGGACCCAGATTATTGGGGGCAATATGCTGACTCTGTAAACCGCTTAGAGCGGGCTGTAAAGCACTGTGAAGCGGTATATAAGTCTCAGTGCTATTGCTATTACTGTAACTGCTGGGATGGGAGTTCTAAAGCTAGGGCTAAAAAGTTATGTTATCTACCAATAATACTGTTAATGCCTCGTGTAGCAAAATAAGGCTTAATCAGTGCTTCTCTTAAAAAAGAAAAGTGTTGTGGCTGATGAATATATCAAAGATTGGCAGCCTATGGTTCAGTTCCCCAGTTCATTGGGGGGGTGGAGTGGACCCCCAGCCACAGACCACTGATGCTTGGTAGAAAAATTAGTTCTGGGTTTGGATGGCATTATAATGTTGCTGTTTTTTACCTTCCCCCCCCCCAACATGTAAACACTAAAATAAATGCTTACGCCTCCATTGGAGTCCATTCAGCTGTTTTGCCCTGATTTATGACAGCAGTTGTGACCAGAATTTCCATTGCCTAGAAGTACGATTGTAAAGCACGACTGCATTGCTTAGCAATGCAATCTCTACAGTTCCAGTTGTTGACCAAATCCCATGGTGTGGTTAGGCGAGGCACCTTCTTGTTGGCTTTCCGCGACCAAAGTTGGTGGGAAGCTGGTAGGAAGTTGCAAGTCCCTGACCAACTGCTTTCAGGTGGGGAGCATGGGAACACACGGAAGGGGTTGGGGAAGGTGCGCAAAGATGCAGGGGAGGGGTAATGTAAGAAGTGGTGCAGAGTGGGGAGAGTTGTGAGTTGTGAGAGGAGGAGTCAGGGAGGGTATGGTGCAGATGAGGGCAAGAAGTTGCGCACAGGTGGAAGGGAGATGTGGCAAGGTTGTAACAGGGAATGCTTGCCAAGGATCCAGATTGTGATCATGTGACTGCAGGTGTGTTGAGATGACTGGGGCTCCAAGGACCAGTCATAGCCATCATTCATATAGTACAGTGGTACTTTGAACGGTCACTGAATGAATGATCGTAGGACTAAGTCTTACCTATATAAACAAAATACAGACCTTCCTTATAAAACATGCCAGGAATCTCAAGTGTATCTCCTTTATCATCATCATACCTCCAGTGGCCATCTGAGACTCAAACCCATAAAAAGTTCAAAAAAATAAAACTTATCTGCAGCTCTTGGTAACAAATGTATATACAACTCTTGCTCTAATTTATTTCTAAGATCTCAACAAATTTTAAGATTACATACTTTTTACATTTATATACTATGTTTCTACCAAGTTAACTAATACAGTTTACATTCTTAAGAACCTAAAAGAAATGCACTGAAGTGATACCTGCAGGAGTTGACAGCACAAGGTTTCAGGATTGGGCATTTTTACTTTTCTCACAAGCCATGGATAGTCGACTTCAGACTAGCAATCAAATAAGCAATACGCCAAAGAGCCATTAGTAAACAGCCCAACCAAAGAATCCCTAAGACCGCCCCCGTCCACCCAGACAGGCAAGACACCAGAATATAAACAGACAGCAAATCGCACTCCTTACTAGTACTGATGATGTTACCTAGTTAGGGTAATGAAACGTCTGCAAGAAAACAAGCAAGCTCAGAGAGCACCAAGGACCCCACATAGTCACAATTGCCATCTAAAGATTTGGTCAAGGGAGATTCAGGTTTAAGCTTTCCAGAAGTTTGATTCTGTCACCTATGTCCTCAAAATAATTTTTTATCACACCGTGGATGATTACTTAGCCTATCCATACCAGAAGGCTTGGGCTTCAATGAGCACTACTTATTTATGCTTGTTTTACTTAAATTTAAAGCTTAATATATCTATTGCAATTCATATTTTTTCATTTCTTGATTTTCTCTAGCTGTATTTGTCTTTTCAATATCCTTACAGTATATATCTGCCAGCTAGAATAACTCCAACCAATAAAAACCTAAGCTATAAAAATATATTAATCTTTAAAGTCCTTTTGTTTTCATTGTTTTCTTTAGTTCTTGATTTTTCTGTCTACATTTTAGCATATAGACCATATTATTTTATGATTCACTGTTATTATCATTACAGGTAGTCCTAGGGTTGATTATTTACTTACTTACTTACTTACTTACTTACTTACTTACTTACTTACTTACTTAACCATCTGATTTATTGGCTGCCCAACTTACCATAGGGTAATTAAGGGATTATTGGGACTGCATTGTTAAGTGACATTGTTGGAAAGCCTAGCATCATATGACTGAGTTGCTTAGTGACAATAATTCCAGCAGACCTGTTCTGCTGTCATAAATAAGGATCATATGGGTCACTAAGCAAGGACCTCATGTGACAGTGAGTTTCGATTTCCTGCTGACTTCCCCATTGACTTTACTTGTGGGAACTCAGCAGGAAACATTGGAAATCACAGTCACATAATCATGGCCCATTGCTACATCATATTTGCAAGCTGGGTGCCAAGCACCGGGATCATGATCACATGACTGCAGGGATGCTAGAATTCTAATGGAACCATTGTAAGTCCTCCTCATTCAGCATTGTTGTACTCTGAGGACTACCTGTATTCTATTCCGCCTTTGGCTCCTTTTCTGTCAAAACGAATAATCTTTTGTTTGTGGGGCTTTCTTCATCTGTTTGTCAGTAGTCCTCTCCCTATATTTCTGTTTTGTTTTGCAGAGCCCAAGATAGTGAAATATTGAGTGAAAGAGTTAGCATTCCCAATGGTACAGCACATGGTACATTGCAGCCAAACACAAATAATGGTGAGTTTCTCTTAATCAGAATTATTATCTTGTCCTTCATGTAATGCCTTGAAAAATCAGGAAATGATCCTTGCAGGTTTTTTTTCTCTGAATTGCTCATGCAAGGAAATTTTCCCTCTAACATTCTGGGAATGCTAATTAAGCTTATTGGCACTGAGGAATTCTTCTGATTCTCCCTGTGGTTGTTCTCAAGCCGTATAAATCAGCAATCATAAAGTCCTGCCTGCAGTTACCATTACATCATGTTAATAAGCCATTTTGGGTCTGCCTGGCATAGATTGTGAAATCAGCACGACACATGGCAGTTCGGTATAATCAATGGAATTTTATATTAAGGGAATTCTTTTGCTTAGTACCGTTTTAATGAAAAAAGAGTGATGTGTAATTCAGAGAATTTTTCTTCTCTGTGCTAATGTCAAAATTATGTTTCCCTTTTTAAAAAGGTCATAAAGAAGCAACATATCCTCTGCCTTCTAACAAACTCAGTAAGGAAGAAAAAATAGGAAAAAGTAACAAGCCTGAGACACTGGATGACACCTCTCTAAATGGGGAGATGTCTTTGAATGTGCATGATCAAAAATGTGATCCGATCAATGTAGATGTAATAAAGACTCAGGATGTTGCAATTCAGACCATATCTGAAGATAATCGTGGTCAGACTGCGTTAAGTGAAAACGGCAATCATCAGAGTCGCACACTGAGCCCTCACAAAAATTCAACTCATGTACACAAGCCAGTACAGAAATACCATTCCTTGGGAGCCCTGAATATGATGAGTAAGCCCATAGGACAAGCAGACCAAAGCAGTGTGAATCCTAATGGCACCCATGATAATGCATTGGTAAATGAGAACCAAGTTCTCCCAGAGACGATCGTCAGAAGCCCAATTAGTTCTCCTACAAAAACGTACCCACTTTACAGACAAGGTTCAAAGCCTAAGCCTAAGCCTTCCAATGAAATTACCAGAGACTACATACCCAAAGTTGGAATGACTACTTACAAAATAGTACCTCCCAAAACCACGAAGAATCGGGAATTAGATCCCGTGGAACACCAAGAAGCAGCGGTATCTCCCAAGAATGAAAATTCCCAAGAATTTGGTACACAAACAGAGACTGCTAATATCTCAAAAAGACCGTATCAAACAGAACCTGATTTTAAGAATGAATTTACATTATATGAGGTAAGGAGGGATTCACCGCCTAAAACATACCCGGCTGCTGATCATAGGCCAGTTTCCTTCTCCAGTGCCCAAGGCCAGAAAATGGAGGTAGAACATCCCAGGCCTAATCAAGACCACCCAATTCCTCCTTTAATTCTAAATTCAGGAAAGAAAAGTTCTCCACCTGCGGTGCAAGAAAAACCAAAAATGTTGAGTCCCCCAATAAGGCCAAGCAATTTTTATTTACAGATACAGAGGAGGACCACAGATCATTATGTAACTTCTGCAATTGCAAGAAGTGGTTCTCTAAGCAGCCCTATTCAGAGTGAAGCTAAGACTAGGGAGACGGAGAAAAAAGTGGCATCTCCAGATCAACCTGGCCTTCCACTACCTAAACCAATTACTGTTCCTTCTCAGTTACCTGAGGAAACTACTGAAAATGGATGTAATGAAGGAGAGAGAAAAGCCACCACTTCTCTTATTCCGAGTGAAGCTAAGACTATGGAGACGGAGAAAAAAGTGGCATCTCCAGATCAACCTGGCTTTCCACTACCTAAACCAATTACTGTTCCTTCTCGGTTACCTGAGGAAACTACTGAAAATAGATGTAATGAAGAAGAGAGAAAGGTCACCACTTCTCCTATTCAGAATGAAGCTAAAACTATGGAGACGGAGAAAAAAGTGGCATCTCCAGATAAACCTGGCTTTCCACTACCTAAACCAGTTACTGTTCCTTCTCGGTTACCTGAGGAAACTACTGAAAATAGATGTAATGAAGAAGAGAGAAAAGCCACCACTTCTCCTATTCAGGGTGAAGCTAAGACTATGGAGACGGAGAAAAAAGTGGCATCTCCAGATAAACCTGGCTTTCCACTACCTAAACCAGTTACTGTTCCTTCTCGGTTACCTGAGGAAACTACTGAAAACAGATGTAATGAAGAAGAGAGAAAAGTCACTTCTCCTATAAAAGTATCTCAACCATTGATTTCTCGTTCATCCCAGCCTTCTGCATTACAATTGAAAACTTTGAGGACTTTTGTTTTGCCACAACCATATTCTTCTCCTAAACCTTCACCTTTTGCTCTTGCTGTATCATCAGCAGTTAAAAGATCACAGTCCTTCAGTAAAAAATGCCCCAATGCAACCAGACCATTAAAAGAACAATCTTCTCTTGACCTTAGCTCATCAGCATCCAACACCGAAGTAAAGGATTATTCACCTATACCGAGTCCAACAACTCAGACACAGCAGATCCTGACAGACAAGGTAAAACTTGTATTTAACATGCATTCATAATGACATTGCATCTCCCCCACCCCCAGTTCTATCTCTGCTTACTGGAATATTTGAGTAAGTTATTTATCCAACGTGTGTTACCTGAATTTTGTGGCAACCTTAAACATCCTCCCTCCAATAATAATAAATTAATGATTTATTATTCTGGATCCGTGAAAGCTTAATAAACGTGTTAGGTGTTACAATGCTTTGTAGTTAGAAACCTATAGCTCTTTGAGAATGTGCTCAGAATGATGGTAACACCCTCAGCTAACCTTACTTGGGCAATGTTTTAACCCAGCAGAAGACTAACGATGCAAGCTATGAGCAAAACAGGCAGGCACCCCCTTTATTCAACCATCCAGCTACCGCTATCTGTGAGAGAAGCCTTGCTGCAGCAGTCCAGCACCCTGACCCAGAACAGATCCACCAGAGCTTGCTGGCTGCAATCCGCTCTGGAGAGGCTGCTGCCAAATTGAGGCGGGTGAGTCGCTATCCTCCCTTCTCCCGCTCAGCATTAAATCAACAGCAGGGGATTTACAGGGCTTCTTTCAAAGTCAGTGTAGTAATCAGAATATGATGAGCAAATCTTGTGAATGTGTTGCTATTATTTTTAACGATGCCAATAGGAAATAGATCTGTGTTCATAACTGTTGACCTTGATCTGGTTAACCTCAACCTAGTTGTATATTTCATTACTCTTTTGTTATGGAAACCGTAACCAACTAACCCATTTTAAAGGATATCAGGTTGCTCTGTACCCTTAGCTTCCCTCTTTCTATTTGCCTGGTCACTTTCTTTTTTCTTCTATCACCTCTTTCAGTTCCCTTGCTCATTTGTACTTTCCAAGTTAAGGTCATTCATAAACTGGCTTCATACCTGCACTTCCACCTTCCCTAAATCTCTTCAGCCTTCGAATCAGATAGTTAACTTCTTAAAAATCAAGTCAGTAAAGCAGAAAGGTTGTGGCATCAGTTTCAGGTTTGTAGGCTTCACGTTTCAAAACCATACTGGGTATTTTTCATGTATATACAGCAGAATATTTTCCGTATTTTTTACAGATTTTTTTTTGCTCTAGTTCTTAATAGGATAAAATCTACTATATACAGAGAACTTAGCTCAAGTGAGTAGATCAGGCTTGTCAAACTGCCGACCCGCAGGCTGGATGCGTCACGCCGAAACCGCCAGCAATGGGGAAAAAGTCGCGTTACGTCGCGTGACGTCGCGAGTTTGACATGGCTGGAGTAGATGAACTCATCTTTCTCAGGCAAGCTTTGTGACTGCACACCTTGCCATTCTAAGATATTTTTTTCAGTGTCCTCTTGTGTTGTTAAAAAAGTCTACCATTGTGGTTTTAATTGTTGTTGCTGCCTGCTTCTCTTGGCTGTAACTATAGCGGACTCTGGAGGAAAAGCATTATCTGAAATCTTACCGGACAGGGATTGGATATAGTATTGAGACATCACTGATTGTGCTTGTGGATGACTTCTGGTGGGACCATTCCTGTTACTGCAGCTGTATAATGTAAAAGAGATGACCTTGACAGAACTATACAAGATCTATTACCTAGACCAGGGGTAGGCAACCTCGGCTCTTTTATGACTCATGGACTTCAACTCCCAGAATTCCTGAGTCAGCATAGGAATTCTGGGAGTTGAAGTCCATGAGTCATAAAAGAGCCGAAGTTGCCTACCCCTGACCTAGACAAAGAGGGCTGAAACACTCTTTTAAGTCCTAGAAAGCAAGATACTATTTGGAAGTGGCACAGGCAAATGCTCCCTGGTTCACTGGGATATAAGACGGAGAGGAAGGATAGCAGAACCAAACTTGCAAGATTCTGTTATTATAGCTTAATAAATCTTAATCTTAATAAAATATAATTCTAGTGGAGTAGATTTTCTGGACTGACTTGCCTAATGTAGCTGATAGAAGCTTTCAGGATCATTGATCACAGTAGCCTTCACTTCCAGGGGTTAGAGATGGGAAGTTCTGGATTATAGTGACCCTTCTTACTCCAGGGTCAGTTCCAGTCAGAGTTGGTAGAGAGTGGGACAGGACAGGATTCCTTGGAACAGCTCATCGTCTTCCCATTTGTATTTAACATCTACATTAACACAGATTCAGGTATTATCAGTATGCAGGTGATACCCAGATTTACATTTTAATCCCAACGTGGCAGTACCATTAAGGTCTAGTTCCAGTTCCAGTGTAGCAAGACCGAATGGCTTTGGCTTCAAGTATTTTTCAACTTCTGTTCTCCGTGAGGTTGCACTTCTCCAGTCAGAACTTCTGTGCAATGTGAGGGTCCATAAACTCTAGGTTCTTACTCAACAAACAGTTGGCAGCCATGGCCAGAGATTTCATTTGGTACTCCAATTACAACCTGTATTCTGGACTGGGAGGCCTTAATCACCACCTGTTTGGATTATTGCAGTGCACTCTCCATTTGGCTACCTTGAAGTCTACTCAGAAACTGCATTGGTCCAAAATACAGGGATGGAGGTAATTATGGTCATATCTCATTTTGTCTGTGTAACATCGTTTCATACTCCTACTGTGTTACACCACTATTTAGCTTCCAGTTGCAATTCAAAAGGCTGGTTGTCACTTCATGGGGCTTGGATACCTTTGGGGTGGCCTCTTTTTGTTATTTCTGTCCATCTGATAAGATCTGGAAAGTTTGCTCACTCCCAAGTCCTCATGGTAAAGCAATGCCATCTTGCAGGGCTTTCTCCATAGCCATACATGAACGGCACTCCTTCCGATGTCTGTATGACCCCAAATCTGTTGTGCTTTTTTGAAGATCAAGGTTTTCCAGCAGATTCTGTGGAAGGGTGGAATGTGAACTGGTTCCCTGCATGTTTTCTGTTGTTCTTATAATGAGCTGTGAAGTTCTGGGTATTTACTATTTCTATTGTCATTTGCTTTTCTTTGACTGCTTTGAGGCCCTCTATGGGTTTGATTAAATAAGTAAATAAATAGTGAAAAATGAAGAGTAACTAAGGCAGGGGTAGGCAACCATGGCTGGCTCAGGAATTCTGGGAGTTGAAGTCCACGAGTCATAAAAGAGCCAAGGTTGCCTACCCCTGAACTAAGGCATGCCTCCATTCTTTTTTTAAAATTGTGCAATAAAAAGCTCTAAGGCTAACTAATATGGTCGGGATGGACCTAGTTAGATCCATTCATTTTTAGGTTTTTTTTTTTCAGATTTTCCTCAATTGTTCTCCATTCAAGAAAGACATCCTCCCCCTTCCCCCCACCCCAAAAAAGCATAACCTGTTGATGAGACTTTTGCACTATCTAACAATGTGAGGAAGTGAAACTTGGATGAGAAAACTGCAGTATCAAATTTATTTTTATGCCTCTTGTGAAGATGATGTCAGGCTGTGGCTGCAAAATGTCACTTTAGCTTTTTAAAGCAAGGGATGTTTGCATGTGAGAGAATTAAACCCTTAATGTCAGCAGGCTGGCAGGCTCCTTGATTCCCTTGTGTACGGAGAGCAGGGAGAGTGGATGTTGGGCGAATGCTTTACTCTAGTAAATCAGGTAAAAGGTCTATCAGGTGCTCTCACTTACTGCCAAGTATTTAAGAAGCGAGGCAGAAAAACTGTTTCTCCTGTCAGCCAAACATTTTCCTCCTTTTAATATCTTGTTTGGGTGCAGAGCCAAACTCTGTGGCCTTTTGTGCTGCAGTTTTATTTCTGTTGAATTAAGCCCTCATTAATTGCTAATCAAATGGGTCAAAAGAGGGTAAGGCTTGAAGCTATTTATCTCTCCAGAATGTTTCCATCATATGACTAGTCTCCCCCCATTAAGATACTGCTTTATTTAAAACATTTCCTTTTAAAAAGCAAAATGTGTACCTCATCCATGTGTCTGTTGACTTCACTCACTCCTCAAAAGTGACAGTTGCATTTTGTTCCATCTTTAACATATCTTTTTAATTTCCCTCCTTGTTTTAACATAACTATTTTGAAGCAGCGTACTGTTCAGAATTGTCATGGCGATACCCAATGTTTTGCTTTCTTCTCAATCTTAAAACCTGTTTTATTCTCCAATTCTTTTTGATCTCGTACTTTCATATTGTACCCTCCTTGTCTCCTATTTTTTAATCTTGGAAATATGCTTCTTCCATCTCATTTTGTCCTACCATTTTGTGCTGTTTGGTAAAACAATGTCCAGAGACACCCACTGAATGTCAAGACCCCCAGGGGGAGAGCCTTCTTTGTGGCAGCTCCTGCCCTCTGGAATGACCTACCCCCCGACCTACGTACAACTGCGGACCTGCACCTTTTTCGCCGAGCCCTGAAAACCCATCTATTCTGTGCGGCCGGCCTGGCGTAGTCTTAATTATGTTTTAGTAAAGGTTTTATATGGGGTATTTTAGAGCAGGCCTTTATTTAATCTGATTTTAGAATAGAAATTTGAGTATATTTATTGTGGTTTTTATTATCACCTGTTCACCGCCCTGAGTCCCGTAAGGGAGATAGGGCGGTATACAAATTTAAATAAAATAAATAAATAAATAAGACTGATTAATATTTGATTAATCTTCTCACCCTTCGCCGACCACATTACATTACTCTCTTTATCAAACCTGTATACACTTCTTTATTGAATGGGGTCGGAGTAGACATCTCATCCTGATAATTACCTGTGTTTCCCCAAAAATAAGACCGGGTCTTTTTTTTTTTTTTGCCTCCAAAACAAGCACCAGGTCTTATTTTTGGCGGATGTCTTATTCACCTCCGGCACCGACAGCCCCACCTAGCAGGTCCACTTCTCCTGCAGCCGAAGGAGCAGCTTCATTCTGCAGTTGCAGTCCAGCCTGTATTTTGCAGTTAGGCCTTTCCGGAAGGCCTATGCAGCCGAGTACCAAGCTATGGATTCAATCCATAGCTCGGTCCTCAGCTGCAGAGGTCTTGCAGAACCAAGCTATTCAATCCATAGCTTAGTTCTTGGCTGCAGAGGCCTTCCGGAAAGGCCTGTGACTGAGAAATGCAGGCCTGGCTGCAGAAGACTCTGCAGAAGAAGTGGGCCAGCAAGGAGAGGCCTGGCTGCAAGGTAAGTGGGTGTGGGGCACATGGGGCAGATCCACACCCCCACCCTAGCTTGATTTTTAAGTGTGTGCCCTGCCCCCAAACTAGGGCTTATTTTGGAGGCAGGGCTTATATTAGGTCCACCCCCCAAAATCAAGCTAGGGCTTATTTTTTGGGTAGGCCTTACTTTCGGGGAAACATCGCAGATGTTGCTCAGGGTTAGCTTTTAAGACAGATGCCTGTTGAAATGGCGGATGGATGATATCCAGGCCTAATTTTTTTCTATGATCCTGACAATATTTTCTTTTCCAGGTTGCACCTCCATCAAACACTATTGCCATCAATGGAAGATCCAGTCTCAGTTCTCCAGTGTCCATTGAAACAAGATACGGTAGTCATTAAGACTTTGTACCAAATATTTTGCACTTTAATCACAGCTGCATAGATCTACTGCATAAATCTACTTCACAGTTACCTGCATATTATTGAAGACTTATGTATAGATGCAGGATTGTGTGGGTATATATTGTCAAGAGTGAAGCACAGAAATTTAATGGATGCCTCAAAAGAATTCTTAAAATATATAATTTATGGCTTTTTTTGACTTTTCTCTTTAAAACTAAAAATGCTGCTTCAGAACATATTCCATGGCGCAGAACAGTTGTAGATTTTTTTTGCTGCTGTAATAATCAGATATGTTAATTTCCACTTCATCCATAACAAATGATGTGTAGCAATGTGCTGTATAATGCTAAGATTCATCTTAATGTTTGTAACTGCTTAATAATTATGTTCAGAAATATTTGAATTTAAATGTAGTTCTTCTCACCTGTTGCCTTGAATGTTAAATTTGAAATTAATTATTGCACTTAGCTAAATATTATCTAGAAACTCTGATGGGCAGGTTTTCTGGTAAAAAAGCAATGTAGATGATATACATCTAAAGATATACTTCTAACTCAGTTTAATTGCTTATTGTCCTTACTTAAATTAGTAGAACCTAAAGGTGCTTAATTTTGGCTGGATCATGCCTATTTAGGTTGATTGTTACTATGTTTGCTTCTAGTATCAAAGTGAAAAATAATAAAACAGAAATCTCCTGGCACCTACTTGTTAACACTATATGTGAATTTCCTTATTTAAAACATGTTTAGTCTCAATGCTAGAGTGCTTATGTCTGTGATGTGTCGCAACAATGCCACCAGTGAAATCAGATCTCTTTTTTTCAAAAGCAGCTGTAAACCCATATCCAAATTATAGAAAATAGCAACCCGTGAATACTTTTGGAGTGCACTCATGCTGCTGATGGGTGTCCCCAAAACCTTAGCTAATATGGCTAATAAGGATAAATAGTAACAATTGGGCAGTGTAGAAACATCTGGAAAGTCACAGATGTCCCATCCTGCTCTAGGATGGTACCAAAGAGCAGGTCCATGAGGTCTGAACTGTATATCTCAAAAATAGGCATATAATTCAGCATTCCTATCCTCATTCAGAGTCCTTTATGGATTTGATTCACCAGTACTGAGCTTCAGTAACTTCTACCCACATCTTTTTGTAAATTTAGTAGCTAAGCAGATGTTGGGAAAGGATCTTTGGCAAAGACAGACTGATAGGACATATATTTGGAAATAAATTTGGAATCTATTTAAGATGACATGAAACATTGACAATCCAGCTCTGGGTTGGACTGAAGATTCTGGATATTTGTTTGGCATTGGATATAAATTTTCAAGACATTGAGCTGTGGATCAGGTATAGCTTGAGGAGATCTCAAGCAAAAGTCGCAGTGGCCTAGAGCAGCCATAATGTATTTGAAAATAGATAAGCTGTAGTTGAATGCAGACTTTTGTGCAGTTTTTCTTCACTATTCATAAAAGCAAGCTATTTTTATGTTTGTTAATTTTAAAAATATTTTTTGACATTCAGGAAATTCAGTATATGGTTATAGGGGGAAATGCGCTTCACTTTCTCTTAAGGAAAGAGGTATTGGTGACAATTTCTCCAGTTCAAATTTGTTTTAGAAATATTGTCAGTCAACTACTTCTATGAGTATGTATTTTTAACACTGTAGAATTTAAGAATCAACTATGGAAAAGACATATTATCTTGAGCAGAAAACCAAATCCTCAGTAATAGATGTTTTGCTTTGTTGCTGTCCATCTTTTTCTTCCTATCTTGACTTAAACTAATGTTGCATTTCTATGATGTTGAAAATTTGTTTGTGACCCTAGTTCTGATCAAGCAATAAATTGTAGATATGCATCGCAAATAATGGAATATTTTTACTTTACTTTTAAATAACTCATGGTATTTTCAGATAAAAGCAATGGTATTTAGTTTTATTCTTGAATCATATTGAATTATAATTTTGAAAACCATCAACTTTTGAAATTTTAAAAAAGTTCTGATCAGATCAGTTTTTAACAAAGACTTCCAAACATTTTCAAAATCTTCTATGCAGTGAGTTGCATTGTATTGATCTGAATGGGGCAATGAATGCTGTCAAAAAAATTACGTAATGCAAAATTGGGAAAGTGCCATAATTTACCTCTTCACTGATATAGCTGCTTTTTTGCTAATCTGATTACACATCATTCTTTCTGTCTACATATAGCTAGATTTGTATACAGTAATCATGCCAGAAAATAAAATTACATGACCAGTGCTCTTTATATAGACAGTACAGTACATGTAAAATGAGTCTCAGGATTAAGTATAGAATACTGGAAGAGATATACTAATACTTTTACAAACTATAATATAAAAAACACCCTATCCAGTGATCCAATAGTATGACGCCAATGTTTTCATCATCATCTATCATGGTGTCTGAGCAACTACAGAAAGAAAGCAATTTGGGATTACTTTTACCTAATCTGTTGAGAATACAAATCTAAAACAACAGAGGAGAAATAATCCAATTCTATAGTTAAAGCATGTAAATACATCACCAAATGGATGCATATTCTATCCATCCATCCACTATATAATCCACACTAACCCCTGCCTTCATCTAGCTTATCTACTTATTTTTCCAAGAACAAAAGAAGCAACAAAAGAATAAAATTAGAAAGCTTTAGAATATGAACATAGAGTTTAAATAAATAACAGGTAATCCCCAAGTTATGAGCATTCACTTAAAAACGCTTGAAGTTACGTGATAAGCAACCCCTAGTGCTTATGAGCAAGTCCCGAAATCATGAATATTGCAGCACCACGGCAGTCGTTCACATTTACAAGTGACTGCAGTGGCACTGCAACATTCACCCTGGTTATTCCCTCCCTCCCCATCCCCACCCGGGGTCTCCCTAGGAACCAGGCCTTCAATACTCACCCTGCGAAGATCGAAATCCTTGGCTGCTCCAGGCCTTCATGCATTTGCAGAGAATAGAGGCCTAAAGTAACGCAAGATCACGTGAGATCAGTGGAGCGAGATCTCACGCTTCTGATCTTGTGTGAACTCATGGTACTTTAGGCCTCTGTTCTCTGCAACAAAGAACGGAACTGAAGCCAGGGAATGCTTCCGTGGCCTTCTGATGGCCCAATCCAGGCGCTGGACACCTTCTCCAGGCTGCTGCCGCCCAGATCTGAGGCTAGGGGACGCTTCTGCGGCCCTCTGGTGGCCTGATCCGGGCATCTCCAGGCCGCTGCCATCCAGAAAGGGGCCGCCAGAGGGCCGCAGAAGTGTCCCCTGGCCTCAGATCCGTGCGGTAGTGGCCTGGAGGAGGCGTCCGGCATCTGGATCAGGCCACCAGAATGCCGCAGAAGCGTACCCTGGCGTCAGATCCAGGCGTCAGCAGCCTGGAGAAGGTATCCAGTGCCCGGATCTTGCTGCCGGAGGGCTGCGGAAGTGTCCGGAAGTGTCCCCTGGCCTCAGATCTGAGTGGCAGCAGGAACCGCAGCAGAGAAGAGACAGATCTTTTCAAGATGAGTCTGGTGCAGTAGGAAGCAAGGAGGTTTCTTAGTGGGTCGGGAAGGCTTTGGGGGCCTGTTCCATCACTAGGCCCTCCATGGCCTTCCCCACCCTAAGATACCTCATGATCACTAAATGAGCCGTGTGCATCTTAACAAGCAAGGGAGTGATCTCGTTCGGGGTACAAGATTCACTCCGAGTTTTCGAGTTACAAGTGGAATGGGCAGGCTCCATTCTGCTCGTAACTCAAGGACTACCTGTATTTAAATTGGATGGCATGAAAACACAGCCAAACAGTTCAGAATAAGAAACATATAAAAGAATGAAAACCAATCGTCTACAGAATTTTAAAATGTCTTGTTATTATAAGGGCTTTCATTATTATGGAAATGCCAAGCAATTTGCTTGTAGAATCACCTCTCTGGAAAGCAAATTTTACAATTAGATGAAAGTTACTAGAAAACATGGGCTTTAAAATTTCATAATTGTAGAAATTAGAGATAATGAAAAATAATCAATAGATCCTATTTCTTTTGCTCCCTGGAGAGAACTGGCAAAGAACACTGAACACTGGCAAAGCCAGTTTTTGGGCACTCGGTCTCTAAAAGGTTCGCCATCACTGTCCTAGATCATCTTAGGAAATATAGAGAATGAAAATCCTCTTTTAAAGAAGAAAGAAAATACAGAACATGGCATCTGGAATTGTTTCCAACCCTTTACCAGGAGTGGTTTGATCTGTCTTTGTAGAAAGTGATGTGATGTGTACATTTATTAAATTCACATTTGCGACCACCCCCAGGGACTCTGTATGCATCTGCATGCATCTGCACATGCTAGAAGCTGAGGGTGGTCTGCTGCCATTTTATGTCCAGCTCTGGGTCACCAGGAGGAAGAAGGCATATAATGGAGAAGTCAACACTATTCTCAGCTGCCTCTCCCACAGGAAGGTGCTGGAGAACATTTCTCTGGGTTTTTTTTCTTTTCTCCACAGCTTGATCCAGCCTATTTCCAAAACCTTTTCCCAGCTTCTCTCTCCACACCAGATTCCATTCCATTTGGACAGAACCCTGAGTTTCTTTCCACAATTTCTTTCCAACATCCTTTCGGTTTAGAAACCATAATACAAGTAAATCAAGGTACTCCATTTATTATATTTATTATTATTACCCTCCATAAAAATTCTCTTGAAGTGTTGGAAAAAAACCTGTCATGTCAAAGAACCTGAGGAATAATGCTGGTCAGAGTAGACAAAATTGTTGTAATCGTCCAACTGGATGAAAGGAGTGTTGTGTGTGAACCACCCATTGCTATGGCGCTTCGTTGTTTTGGAATGAGCTTTCTCTTATTGAAAATGCTGGGAGGAAGGCAGGGGGTGGGGGTGGGGTAACTAGGAGCTTTTTACTCAAGTTGTTGTAACTCATGAACTTAAAAAGCCAATCTCTAATTACACTATGTAATTTAAAGCCTGACCCCCAGCCTCTTCAGTCAGAAATTAGTTGCACGAGTTTGGGCAAAATGTACCGTAAGTATAAGTGGTAGCGCTCACTCTGCCAAACACGGGACTGGCTGCAGACAGAAAAGATGTTAAATTTCAACCTTCGGTGAAGGAACGCCACTTTGCCAAATGGTTCTGAAGTTCTCACGGCTATAATTTAATTGCCACCGACAGAGATACCGGATTGCTTGACCTTCTTGTGGCATGATTCCTGTGGGGTTTCATTTCATTTCATTTCTGAATGGAGAAATAATACAGAGATGTCTCCAGTTGCCTGCCTTGGTGGGAAAAGAAGGGAGGGCTACACACTAATAAAACAAACGGAAAACTTCCCTCTAAAGAGGAAAGATAATTGATTTCAAAAAGTGGTTGTGCTATAATGGAAAACCTGTTGTAACGTGTTTTGAGCTACAGGCTGTTTGGCAAGAACAATTGGCTACCTTAGATCTGACCATGAAATTTGATGTTTTCCCCTTGCAGAGGCTGTGAAGTTTTCTGGAACCATAAATCCGAAGACAATGAAACCATAACTAATCTGCTAGTCCAAATATGGCTAATTTATATTAGTCTATGAATAATACACTAGTTGTATGAACTTGCTTTAACACAAAGCATAAATCAATTGTTTTGTTCTAAGTTATTAGAACAAAACTTCAAACTTCTATTTTTATTTTATGTTTCAAAAACAGCAACTGTGAGAGGGACCTTGGAATCCTAGCGGCCGATAACTTAAACATGAGCCAGCAGTGTACAGCAGCAGCCAAAAAAGCTAATACAGTCCTTGGTTGTATAAACAGAGGCATAGAATCAAAATCACGTGAAGTATTACTACCGCTTTATAAAGCCTTAGTAAGGCCACACCTGGAATACTACATCCAGTTTTGGTCACAATACAAAAAAGACGTTGAGACTTTAGAAAAAGTGCAAAGAAGAGCAACTAAGATGATTAAAGGCCTGGAGTCTAAAACATATAAAGAATGGTTGCAGGATTTGGGTTTGGCTAGTCTAGAGAAAAGAAGGACTAGGGGGGACATGATAGCAATATTCCACTATTTAGGAGGCTGCAACAAAAAGGAGGGGGTCAACTTATTTTCCAAAACACCAGAGGGCAGGACAAGAAACAATGGATGGAAACTAATCAAGGATAGAAGCAACCTGGAATTAAGGAGAAACTTCTTAACAATGGGAACAATTAACCAGTGGAACAGCTTGCCTCCAGAAGTTGTAGGTGCTTCATCACTGGAGGTTTTTAAGAAAACAATGGACAGCCATCTATCTGAAATAGTGTAGGGCAGGGGTAGGCAACCTTGGCTCTTTTATGACTTGTGGACTTCAACTCCCAGAATTCCTGAGCCAGCCATGCTGGCTCAGGTATTCTGGGAGTTGAAGTCCACGAGTCATAAAAGAGCCAAGGTTGCCTATCCTGCTTGAGCAGAGAGTTGGACTAAATGACCTCCAAGGTCTCTTCCAGCTCTATTGTGATTGATTGGTTGAATTTTAAGAACTGCTGAAATATTTTGGTAATTAATTGCATGAGATGCTTCAGTTGTTTCTAGTAGTAATATTTTTATTTTATTTTATTTAGAAAATGTATATGGCTTGTAGAAATAAGGCCCCCAAATTCAAAACCCAGTATACAGTACCCTTACCCCCCTTGTCAACAATCAGACAAGCCGCTTGATACTCTGTATTACCTTGGGCTCCCCAGGCCTGCTGGCAAAACCATGTCTTCAGGGCTTTTTAAAAGTGTATCAATATGGGGGCCAGTCTTATTTTTTCAGGGAGCGAAGAGAAGGCCCTTCTTCTTGGTCCTACTAGATGGACCTTCTTAATGGAGGGGATCCATGAAATACCTTACCTC